ACGACACAAAGTATTTGATTAATCTATGTCCACCTGGAGTTTCTATTAATCTGAAAGTCAAACAACGTCTCTTCCAACGAGTTAAACCAAGTAAGAGGTTTCTGTGTGCGACTTAAGTGAAAAGTAAATTATTCTACAGCTGTGAAATCCATAAGAAAACTTTAATGACTTTATTTTGTTATTCAGAAGTCAGTTCATGTTATTTAGCTGACCTTGAAGCTAAATAAGCTCAGAATAAACTCAGGTTTTTAGTGACATACAACATACATATATTAAGATATTAAGATATTAAGATAAGGTGGGCATGATGGCCTCCTTCCACTTAAATCAGAGATTGATGGGAAAATGAAACTTGATGGATGTGAATGATGTTACTGCTGATTGTTCAACTGATGTGTGCACGAGCATGTTTAATTGTGCAGCTTTTTTATACCTTTTTTGTAAGAAACATTCACCACATGTAACTTCTTTGTGAAACAAAAAGGGAAATACAGATAACATATACAAATTGAGTGTTAATGTCCTTTTAGGAATCCTTTGAGCTGCAGCCAAATGATTCCAACTTTTCTGTCTTCTACACAGAATCTTTTTAAGCTCCATAACTTGTCATTTCCAGCTCTGGCAAAGACCAGAGAGTAAGGCAGTGTGGTTCTGGAGACAGCTGTGCTGTTTTCTGAAACTGAGCCAGGATGCATCCAGAATGTTTTTTTTTATTTTGAGAGGTGCCTTGATGCTGCTTAGAGGTTTTACATCCAGTGACTTCTTTGTTTTAGAATCTTACCGAGATTGGTGATGTTTATATGTAGAATGTACACTAAAAAATACTTTACTTGCAAACTAAGCCTGCTTTGATTTGTACAGTAAATGCTTGGAGAAGTATTGAGCAGCTGTGTCCTCCCATTTAAATAAACTCTTAAATAAACTCTTTGTATATAACTTGTCACAACTGATTTCAGTTTAAAAAAAATAATTACTTTGTGTTTGTTACAAAGTTTATACCTGGCTGAAGATTAAAAAAAAACCTAGAGGCAATTTTTCTCCATGACCAACTTTTTACTTTTTATTATACAGGTCATACTCAAGAATAAAATACTTTGTTTTTATCTATTGGAAGTGCACAGGACTAATGAAAATTGTCCAGAAAAACAAAATGTCATTCTGCATGAAATACCTGAGGGATCTCTATAGCAGCAAAAGAGCATCTTGATGCTTTTAGCATAATAAGACTTAGGATTCGTCACATCTGCTCTACTGCACAATGATGTGAGGAGTCCCCTGCCTGTGAGAGGTAGGATTAAGCTCAACAAATAATCTCAGTTATCCACTTCCATGTGACAGACATCAGAACCACGCATTACTCAAATAGAAAGCTCCACATTTCTAAAACACACGACTAGCCATTACAGAAGTTTTCTTTTCTTAAGTGATGTCACATGGAACTTACAAAGAAGCTTGCTGAAGCTCCTGAAGACAAGTCTGCAGTGTGACACTCTCCCTCTTTCTCTGTTTCGCACCTCAATTTCATTCATTTAAAGCTTGCTGGGCATTTATTGGGGCCACAAAGAGAGAGCGCTGTCCATCCTCTTCAGAATAGAAAAGTATTTGATACAAAATCGAGAGTCCTGAAACCACAGAAGTTCTCTAATGTCATGCAGCATTGCATGGTGTTGTTATGGAAACCAGCTGAGGTCTGGGTCACTGCTGCCACTGAAGAACAACCTGTTTTTTCTCATTCTCTCTTTCTCTTGTTTCTTAACATGCTATCTAAGATTCAGCATTCAACGTGAACATGTTTGAAGGCTTGTCTCAGGCAATTCAAATGTCAAAGAACCAAAGTAATAGTAAACCAAGGAGACACCAAAGACATTATTAGCTTCCACTAGCTATATTTTCTGGTCACATGTAAATGAAAAAAAAAAACGAAAGCATTTTTTGCTTAAAATTGTCTATTTATAGGAGGCCATTTGACTCTTTTTGCTCATGTAATTCCAAGGAGTCAATTAATCCAATGATGTCATCCAGCCACTTCTTGAAAAAAGCCCAGGTTTCAGGCAGAATGCTTGACTGCTGTTAGTAGCTGGCCAATACTGAGCAAAACCAGAACCTCAGGCTCATGGACCTCAGTGTGGACTAGCTCGGTCTTTACCATCTGTCTGCCTGTGTTTCACACTGTCTTTCTGAGGTCTGAGCTTCTGTTTTTTTCATGCTTGCTGGTGTGTTTGATCATTATTGTCTCTTCCTCTACCTTTCTGTCACTGTTTTCAGATGGTGGTATTGCTACCTGCAGCATTTCCCACCATGGGAAGCCCTTTTGTGAACAAAGACGGAAGTTTAAATAAAGACTTCAGGTTCTGAAAATTATGTACTCACACGGTTCAACCCTTTGACGGTGCTGGTGAAACAGAAAATATCTATATTTGCTTATCTATTTTTGTGTCTATAAACCAATCTAAATAGATATTGATATTTATATTTTAGTTCAGGTGGGTAGCTGCGTCAGCATGCGTAGGCTGCAAAGGAACAAGGGATAGGTTTATTTCATGTTGAAAGGAGAAGAAAGAAAACACGTTTCGGCCGTGGAGCCTTCTTCAGGTGTGAGCAGCCTGAAGAAGGCTCCACGGCCGAAACGTTGTGTTCTCTTTCTTCTTTTTTTTCAGCATGGAATAAACCTATTACTTGTTCCTTTATATTTTAGTAGCGTATTGTATAAATTTGAACTTATCACATATCTAAATATATTTATACTGATACAGTCAACTGTGTCTCTTGTGTAAGACAAAAATATTCTAGTTCGAAACTTCAGCCATTCATACTGATCACTCATTAGTATCATTCTTATTGATACTTCTCTTTTTTAGTGATTAGTATCTAATTTTTTTAGGGTGTTTAAGAGGTATGGATTACTTAAAATCCTTTTTATAGAGCATGCATTAAAATGTAAAAATCAATTTTAATTAATCACATCACGGCCTTTCAGGTAAAGACTGCTTTGGCTTTAAAGCTGTGCCTGGTCTAAAAGAAAACATCATACTTCATTGTTGCAAGTCTTTGTTTTAGCATCACTGAATGTGTGAAATCAATTTTAGTAACGCATGTGTATTTTGGCCTTTGAACACCTGAATGGAAACTCACAGAAAGATGTTCCTGCCAGATGAGTAAGATGCTGCTTGTAAACATGCAGCACCTTGTTGTAAGAGGTATAGCAGAAAGTCTGGCCTGGCTGTGCACTGTGCAAACAAGGAGAGCTGTATCCCTGCTCAGATAGCATCTGTTAGCTGTGGGGAATCTCTGACTCAAATGGAGATGGCTAAAAATGAACCCAGAGGCAACTGCAGGCCAGTTCTAACTTGTGTACTGATTATATCTTAAGTTGACCTGATAACCACGCTAGGCACTCAAAGTTGTGATGCTATTTCAGGGAATTGCTTAAGGCACATAACCCTAATGACGGAGGAAAAGGACTGAGATCAGAGCAATGTGATAGACGTTTTATGTATATTCATAATCAACAATTTTTTTTTTCTCGTTCGTCCAGACTTGAAGAAGTTTTCTTTATACTTTTTCGTGGCAAAATTTGGCTGATCACGAAGTTATTTCATCTTTTCTTCTCCTTCATGCCCCTTGTCTATGTCTGATCTTGCTGTTAGAATGTTTGTAATGAATATAATAGTGGAGTAAATGTGAGTGCATGGTAAAGTACAAAGTTGCAGAGTCTCATCTGTTGTCCACACATTTCGGGTTCAATTCTGGTTTATTAGCTTGAGACTATGTCAGTAGACAGTGATGCACATGTGTACCAAGCCCCATCAAGTTATCTGTGGAGACTCCTGGGAGTACCTAGGGATCTTTGAGCCTCCAGAAGACACATACTGTTTCAACAGGTTGTATTAACTCCCCTGCAAGGTGGACATAATGTGTTTAAGGGCTGGGTGCTAGGGTTGGGGTTAGCAGAAGCTCACCTACTTTCCTCAGTGTATGTCCAGGGATTCTAGTGATTCTAGGATTCTAGTGTAAGCAACACTGGGGTTCCACATTGGGGAAGATTATAAAATAGAAAAATACAGGTAATTGGTGATTAGATTTAAAACATCCCGAGAAATAAAACTGAAAGCACTTAATTAAATACGACCTGTGCTTACATGGGAAAAAAAGTTTAACTCAGTGAGAAGAAGTGACTAAATCAGATTTGTTTAATCTATAAGTGGTCTGGTTTTCTTGGTTTGCTTTTAGAGTAGCTGAGTTCTTTCCTTCACACTAGTTTTGACCCTTTCAGAAGCATATATTTGTAGTTCAGCATAAAAAAGATGCACATTTCTGATGCTGATACGTCTTAGAAAAATGTTTTTAGAAATTGTTGTAATATTCCGGGTTGGTGTTCATCATAATATTCATGAAGGTAATGGACTGGGATTGGATCCTGGGTTTGCACAGTTCTTAACTTGCAGCCATTTAAGTACAGTTATTTCTAGAGTTATTGTATTTTAAATAGTAACAATTCCTTGCATTTACGGTATATACAGTAGCACTTTTCAACTCAAATCTCTTTATATATAGGATGTTTGAATTTAACTTATTTCCTTTGCATGTCTTCATACACTTTTTATATATTTTCTATTGCTTTTGATTTTTTTTCTTATCTACAATGTGTTGTGAGGTGCAACGGAAACTTAGGTCATGGCCTCCTAATCATCCCCATCACTCAACTGGCTTCACTACTCTATTTTCATTCTCCTCTCCCCGATAGCTAATGTGTGGTGAGCCTACTGGTGTAGTTTGGCTGCTGTTGCATCACCCAGGGAGGTGCTACACACTGGTGGTGGTGGGGAGGGGAGACCCCATTACCTGTAAAGGGCTTTGAGTGGCGTGTCCAGAAAAACGCTATATCAGTGTAAAGCTTATTATTCTTAAAGTCTGCTTGACTGACTAGTGATGTTCCCCTAAGGGAACACCAGTCCCCAAATTTCAGTGCGGACCTTACAGGCTGACTGTCACCTCTTTACCTGATCGTGGCCTTGCAGTTACTCTGTGTGGGGACGGGGTGCTCCTCGATGACATTGTGAAGGAGCGGAGAAGAGGGAAGCCGGACCCTGGCAGGGTGAGGCAGGGTGCCCATGTGGCTGTACATGTCGCAGGAGCGGATGGGGGCAGCCCCCTTCTTCTTCCTGGGCAGGGTGCCATGGATGGATGCCACTTGATAGGCACTAGGCCGGGGCTCTGCCACGGCCGGCCTGCTGCTCAGGAGGTCCATGGAGGTAGCGAGTGAACACTGCCGGCTCATGTGCATGTTCCTTGGGAGGCTGACAAACTTCCCCTCAGCCATCATCTTCAGCTCTGAAGAAAAAGAAGAAAACAGCAATTTGTCGGCAAAATCCAAGGAAAAGGTTTTGGAATGCACTCAAGCACTCAGCACGAATACACGTAATGTTTCCCACAAGAGTCGGACAGGTTATTGCTATTTGGCGTGATAAAAATAGAAGCAGTACATTAAGTCCTCATTTGTTTCTTCAGCTCAACTACTGAAGACCAATCGCCGACGAACCTGCTGTGTTATCAGATAAAAATATCTGGCATTAACAAGAAACAACTAACAAAGAAGCTGTCAATAACCTGGCAAGTGTTTATTAGAAAAATAGCTCACAACCAGTTCCAAGAAATTATTTATAGACATTATTAATGACAAAGGTAAAACTACTTTTTATATAATAATATAATAATTCCTTACACTTATATAGCACTTTTCTGGACACTCCACTAAAAGTGCTTTACAGGTAATGGGGACTCCCCTCCATCACCACCAGTGTGCAGCCCCACCTGGATGATGTGATAACAGCCATAGTAGACCAGTATGCTCACCACACCAGCTATCAATGTGGAGGAGAACAGAGTGATGAAGCCAATTAATAGATGGGGATTATTAGGAGGCCATAATTGGTAAAGGCTAACGGGAAATTCGACCAGGATGCCAGGGTAATACCCCTACTCTTTCGAGAAACACCCTGCGATTTTTAATGACCACAGAGAGTCAGGACCTCAGTTTAATGTCTCATCTGAAGGACGGCGCCTGTTTACATTATAGTGTCCCCATCACTATACTGGGGCATTAGGAACTACACAAACCACAGTGTGAGCGCCCCCTGCTGGCCCCGCTAACACCACTTCCAGCTGCAACCTAAGTTTTTTCCAGGAGGTCTCCTATCCGGGTACTGACCAGGCTCACACCTGCTGAGCTTCAGGGGGTTGCATGAGGGGTGATATGGCTAATAAATGACCAAATTAGTTTTACATTCATCAATTTGTTTATTTTTAGCTAATTGTAACTGATTTTGTCATTTTAGTTAATGATACCTCAAACTGAAATGTGAAATCACAGTAGGCAAGGGTATTCTTTTTTATATGCTTATGTCCAGAAGGAAATTCAAAAATGCATTCTACCTGTCATATTTGCTTAGCTGTTTTTTTTTTTGTGGCTTTTCTCAGAAACTATTTTCCTTTTATCCTCAAAACACTCAAGGGATAGCAGCTCATGTTAAAAGCAGTTTTTGTGGGTTGCCAAATTTCTTCCAGACAGATAGCTTGTGTCTTCAGGTGCCACAGAGATATAATTGCTATTTATGCACATTCTGTATGAAGAGCTTGGAGGACCTCCAGTCAGTTCTGCCTTCATGCCCAACCCCACTGAATGCTGACAAATCGGAGATGGTACAGTAAATGGCTGTAGGCTGCAACACTACCCCACCCCATCTAGCCACCTGGGTCTTCTCAGGTCTCATAAAGTATTTACATTTGCATTCCAGCACCGGGCTGGAGAACAATTAGTTGGCATACCCAAAAAAGAGGCAAAATTAAATTGTAATTTAATATCTTCTTATTTGTTTTATTGATGACGTGCACAGACGTGGTAACATTTCTGAGCTGTTTTGTTATTTTTAAATATGGGTTATTAGTTGGCAGAGGATTTGGGACAATGATATACAGCCTAGTAAAATGCACTTCTGCTCATAGGGAAGCCAAAGGTGCATTTTCCAATACAGTTCGTGGGGGAACTGAACTCACGCTGTAAATGATTTTTGTCAATTTCCAAACTTCTTTGTAGAACTGTAAACATCCTTTTGGAAAACTGTTTTTTTCCAAAAAAAGAAGAAAAACTCTCCCTATGAAGCTGCTTCTTTATATTTTCTAAACATTGATTTAGTGCTTCGAACACCCATTTTAAGCTAGATATTCTTAGACTATGATACTGTACGACGTAATATACTTTAATCTTTATATACCTGCAGATAACGGAGTACAGAAAAAAAGCTTTCATCTCTCATGAAAAACAGATTAAAAACAGATTAAATATGATAAAAGTTTTCCTTGTGGAACTGGGCTCAGTGTACAGAAAGTGATGTCATCCGGTTTGAAACCTGGTCAGTGTCAAATTTTCCTGTGGTAGGAACCTGGCCTTGTGGTATAGTGGGGTTTGGCAGCGTCTCGAGAGTTGTGCTGTGTCTGTTCTGCACCCATGAACAAACATGATCGAGCTCTAGGGGGGTAGAGTTTCCTTCATAGCTCTTGTCTACCTTTTTAGATTGAGTTTTAAAATGAAATAAATATTCCAATTCCACTTGAAGAACTTTGCTTCAAGTAACAATATGAAGAAAGGCTAGACTATGGGAGCCGTTGATGCGAAATTGTCATTGGTGGTCTTAAATCAATCTAAAATCAGCTGAGAAATAAATTGAAGTTAGACAATGAGTTGTCCCTGAATGACCTGTAATCCTTATCTAAGCTGTCTGTTGAGAAGAACAGAAGAAAGAATCTGAGGAAAGTAGTCAAGCAAGCCTGATGACCCAGACAGAAGCATAGAGTTACAGTGCACTGACCCCATTTAACAAGCCTGTAAACCTATTCATGACTAAAAACAGTCCCAGCTCTTCCCCTATAAGGACAAAGTAGTGGCTGTTGCCATCGCTTTACTGTATTTTAAAAACTCATTGTTCTGAACACACTGTGTGATCACAGCTTTCATACTCCAAAATGTCCTAGAACAACCATTTTTTTAAGAACAGAGGGAAAACTGAGTCTAATAAACTAATGTCCAGAAATTTGCATCCAAGGGGATGAGCTGACATTCTAGACTAAAATCCACAGAATATTTAGCCTAAATTAGTTACCTTAGAAAAGTTTGTGTTGTTCACAATATTCAATAGAACAAAAAGGAATGCTTCATTACAGATTTCTAAGTTGTCTAAGACAAATACAAAGGAACTAAAGACTATGAAGAGTTGTGTGCATATACAGCTTTTACATTATTTCTGAGATCACTAACGTCCCACAAGTCCCCAATTAACATGTGTGATTAGACTTGGCTGTTTTTGATGTTTTGTTGTTCCCACCCTCACACCTTCTCCAAAAAGATAAAGAACAGCTTTTTTATGTATCACCAAGATAAGAGCTGAGGCCCAATATGAGCTCCTGTAAAAAGCAATTTACTATTCACCCTGAATAACCTGTAAACATAGATTGGTTCTGCCAGATGTGTTTATCTGCAGTATATTACATATATAGAATTACTCATTTAAGCCACATTGGACACAAGTGTTGGATTTTGCTATGACACATTGAGCTACTCACCCCATCTGCAATCACAAATTACAGAACATAATTACTACATTTCCTGTTCAAATGCACTAGAATTTCACAATCATTTTAGAAGTAGTTCATTTTCTAAGGCATTTACACACAATTGTTAGGTGTCTACTGTTTCTGCCCTTTGCTTGTTTTTTGTTCTGGTGTATTCAGGAGTCAACATATTGAAGTGAAACTTATTTTTAGAAAATGCTGAAGCAGACGTGCTATTGGTGGCTTGGCAGAGGGTAATCAATGCCATGACTTTGTTGTGGTGAAGGCCTTGGCACACACTCCTCAGCTAGGGGATTCCTGGTTCCTGGCTGTGTTGGTGGCTGTATCAACCTGCCTAGTAACAGTGACCACAAAAGGGAAGCAACCTCACTCATCAAACAGCAGCTGGGGCAGATGTCTCTTGCTGGATATCCTTGCAATCAAAGCCTGGCCCTTTAGAGCTGTCTTTCTTCTTTGCTTTGTGTTTAGAGTTCTTTATTTTTTGCTGTTTATCCCTTGGCTCTCTGTTTGCCTTTATAGCAGTAATCAATAGCTATTTGAGCCATCTATAATCCCCACCTAATGCAGTGGTGTCTACCAATAGCAAAATGAGCTCATCACATTTTCCTGTGCAGACTGAATCAGATCTGTTTTACTGTTTGTGTCTTGCCTGTTTCAGAATGCAAACAATTGTTATTGTGATTTGTGGAGGGTTTGTTCAAGATATTCAGTAGGAACTAGCGCTGGTTGCAATTAATTAAGGGTGATATCTGGAGCGATGATATTCAGCACAGTAAATGTAAAAGAAATTGAACTCAAAGATCAATCAATTGCTTTCTTTGAAACCTAAAGGGGAAATGTTTAACTCTGGACCTGTTATACCCAGTCTACAGAAATAACTACTACACATTTCAGTACAATGTAGGGTCTAGTCTTCAGTGTCTTTTTTTAAAAAACTGCTCCATGGCAAGTGAAACACACTTGAGTGAGCTAATTTACTGATCTTTTTCTGGTTACTCAACAACAAATATCAAAGTCATGCATGTTTGGGACTGTTATCTTCTATGATAAACTCTCAGGAGTCTGTTTTCCCTTGTTATTTTTCTCAATTTTTTTACTTAATATTTTTTTATTAAACAGTGCATAACCGAATGAAACTGGATTATTTTCAATTTGCAAAAGATCTCATATGATACTGGATGTGCAGTGTTGCTATAGAGCCAGCCATTGCTTCTGTTCCTCAGGATCTTGGGAACCGCATCCCTGACTCTTTAAAGTTATGGCAGCCACTGTGTGGCTCAACTAGAATTCTGCTGGAATTCTGTCAAAAAGAGTGCCTAATTGTACCTTTATTTGTTTTGATTTCTTGTTTATTTGCACAGGTCTGAAATATGATGTGGAAAACATTCCAAAATGTATAACTATAATTTAACTATAGTCATTCTGTATTCTGGCTTGATGGTTTGTTACACACTCAAAAAAAAATAACAATTGCTGCACAATTTGCAGAAAATTAAAGGAAACAGGAAAATCTAAATTTTGCGACTTCTCTCTTATGACACAGGGGAAGGTGGGAGGTGGTAATGTGACTTTACTTGTGTTTGCTTTGCTGGGTTACTGTAGTTATTTGACCTGTTGTGGAAGAAGAACTTCACAAAACAGTCTGCTGGAAAAGTTTGGATTTATTTTATTTTTTATCTAACTATGCACGAGTAACCCGCAGAGTG